CCGTTTTGATTCATGAAAGTAACATAAAAATGTTTTACGATCTTGCCTTAAGTCCAATCTTCAACGAGGTGATGTGTTTTCAACGCAATTCTTAATGATTCCTTAAGATTCCTTAAGAGCGCAATAATGCCTACAAGCACAGAGAGAGCTTAAGCATCATTTCTTAATGTTCATGTCTTAAAAAATTCTTACAAGAATAACTTAGCCTTAGGTTATGCCTTCAAATCGTACTGTGAATACGACCCCATGACTTATGGACTACATTAGTACCCACTGTGAGAAAAGTTGAATTACGAGATTTGTCCCTGAATATCAAAAGATTAACATAAAGAATATTATGTTACTCAACTTAATTGACTCAGATTTGTATCTGGAAGTGGTAAATTTTGAAAAATGTAGTTAAACAGACAAGTCATTCCAGAAGCTACAGTTAGGAAAAAGTTAATCCCGTCCGTCCCCCAAGAACTGCCTAGATCCGCCCTTGCCTATACCAAGGTGTAAATCTCCTTTTGTGAAAGTATGAAACCATGATTAATGATATTGGTAAATTAGAACTTGGTCTCGAAATATCACATACGTATTCACATGCCTATTAACGACGACAGCCCATCGTTTAATGTTTAAACACAATGTTCTGAAAATTAATTCCCAACAGAAATAGACCATGCAACAGATGTTGCGACAATATTAACCTTACCGTTCGCAAACAATCAGGATTCCGTGGCTGGATTTTCATTTTTTACACAGAATTTACAACGAGAATAAATGCGAAATGAAAATACACACAGCTGATATAAAACAAAAACCGATGAACGTGATCTATCATGCCGATGGAGTGAATAAAGTTATACGATGTCAGTGTTGACAAATAAACCACATGAAATACAGAATATGCGAAAAATAGCTAGGTTAGGTTACATTAACGGCTATTCAACTGCTTTGGAAATATAAATATGATGATTAGTTCTTAGAAGTCATCATCGTAAGGTCGTCAGTTCTAAGACTGGTTGGACACACATTTCCACTACTTCTTACCCTGAGCTAATCTTCGCATTTCGCTAAACTAGAACATTCCACATCCTTAACTATTTGTGAACAGTAATCTAATCTAGGTATACCTCTACTTCTCCTAACTCCTGTTTCTGCTTCTAATATGTCTCTGACTAGACCTTCATGCCTGAGAAGGTGTCTTACTAACCTATTTCGCCTATTTCTTATTCACTTCCATAGAGTCCTATGTTCTCCTATTATTTCTAATACCTTTTCATTTATAACCTTCTCTATTCACGCTATCCTCATCATTCGCCTATAACACCACATTTCAAACGCTTCTAACTTTTTCCGCCGCGCCCACTGTCCATGTTTCTCACACGTACAGCGCCGTGTTTCAAACATATACCTTTAACAACCTTTTTCAAATTTTTAAATGAATCGTTCTCAAGCATAGAAGTAACTTCTTTTTATTGAAGGCCACACGACCTTGCGCTATCCTCTGCTTTATATCCCTACTACTCCTTCCGTCCTGACCTATCTGACTTTCTAGATACCTAAAATCGGCCACTTCTTCTAACTTTTCGTCTCCCATCTTTATATTCGCTCTTTCCCTACTTTTTCTTCCCTTGAATATCAGTATTTTTGTTTTACTTTTATTTATTTTCATATTGTACTGTTTTGTCAGTACCGCTTCCATTTTATTTAAAGCTATCTCCAACTCCCCCTTGCTAGATGCTAATACTGCTATATCATCTGCAAATCTAAACATACTAATCTTTTGTCCCTCTATATCTATCCCTACAGCTGTACTCTCTTTAATGACGTTGATCGCGTCTTCGACGTATAGATCAAAAAGTAGCGGTAACAGTGTGCATCCTTGTTTGACTTCCTTTCTAATATTTAATTCTCTACGTTACAGCTCCAGCTCTATAACTGCCTGTCGCTCTTTATACAAACTAAGTATCACTCTTCTATCTTTGTTATTCACCCCTACATTTTTAAGTATATTTAACATCTTGTCCCAATTAACATTGTCAAAAGCTTTTTCTAAATCTACAAATACTAGAAGTAGATACCTATAATTTGGTCTTAGTATGTATTGGAATAGTTTAATGTCACAAGTTCAAAAATACGAAACCGATCGAAAAACAATTAAGACAACTATCTCATAAAAATTGCAATTCATCTAGTTGATGGGTAAGGCTGCCAACTGATATAATATGAATATTACATCAGAATATTACTTCGCAGCAAAAATGTCGGAAGTGGATAATACTAATAATAACGTAACGACAGAATTTCAGGACGTATTCGTGAAAAAAGCGATTTTTTGATAACTTACAACAAATGGGTAAGACTTTAATAATTATGTAAGGAAATTTACAGATCCCTTCGAGCGAATTGGGGAATCTGTCCTGATAGAATTTCACGACATATTCATGGTTTTCTAATAATTGGCAGAAAAGACCTTTGGAAGATGGTAATAGTAAGACTTCAACTATCACGACCAAAAGAATTTGCCGTTCACTCCGGGCGAATTAATTGAGAAATTAGGGAATTTGTCGTGATGGAATTTCATGACGTATTTGAGGAAAAAGTGGTTTATATAGATGATTGGAAGGAGAGATTCCCCGGAAGACGATGAGGAATTCAATTATCGCCCTTGAATTAGCCATGGAAACTTTTCGTTCATCTGGGGGTAATTAGTTGTAAGCTTGGGTGATTTATATTGATGGAATTTGACGACTTATTTGCAAAAAAAGATTTATTGGTTATTGCAAAAAGAAATCCCCGAAAGATAGTAGGAGTTCAAATATGGCGGGCGAATTGTAAACGATAATTTGCCATTCGTCCCGGGCGAATTAGTTGTGAAGTTGGAGAATTTGTCGTGATGAAATCTCGTAGCATATTTGCAAAAACAAAATGGTTTATTGATTATTGCAAGAAGAAATCCCACGGAAGATATAAAGACATCAATTACAGCGGGCGAATTTCCACGAGAATTTAGCGTTCGCCCCGGCCGAATTAGTTATAAAGTTGCAGAATTTCTGGTGATGCAATTTGATGAAGTACTGGATAAAAAAATGGTTTATTGATCATTGAAAGGAGATCCCCCGGAAGAGTGTAAGAATTCAACTATCGCGGGCGAATTGTAAACATTAATTTGCCGTTTGTCGCGGTCGAATTAATTGTGATTGAAAGACGAAATTCCCCGAAAGATTGAATTTGGCGTCCGCCCCGACGACGTATTCGGGAAAAAAATTTTAATTTAACGATTAAAAATATAATTGGAAGTAATTGAAAATATCTAAAATCCATTTTTAAGAAAAAGTGTCGTAATTTCAAGAACGTTTGCTGATTAAATTCTTAATCAGCAATTTACTAAAACTAGTAGACATAAATGGCGATTTTGATCTTATTAGATTTCATTATTTATCACACATGAAATATTTTAGAAGCAGCACCTTGCGTTATAGTTTTTATAAAGTTCCGTTCCTCAAAAGGAAAAAGCTGTTAATTTCTTATAAGATGAATCGCGTTTCCGTCTGCCCATCTGTCACAGCTGCTTTTCTTAGAATCTGTTAGACGTATAGACTAAATTTGTCATAATAATAAAGCATATTAACCTCCCTATATCTTAATCATTAGGTCTACTCAAGAATAGTGGACCCAAATTAGGCGAGTACTCGGAAAGAATTTTTTTTGGTTTCTTGGGTGGTTTTTGAGAGAAATATATTAAAAATCCATATAATTATGCACATGTATTACAAAAATAACACGAAGCACATATTTTTCTATATTCTGTGTGTAGACTTTACGGACACACTGTATGATATCGAATAATCATTGATGTAATTGTACACCTTGTATAACCACTTTACGTAACGTGTGTGCAAAATGTTATCATTATAACTAACCGTGTGAAAAAATATTCATATTCAGATAAGTAATGAATGTAGTTTTTTACAAAGTTCGAGGAAATAATAATTATTAGATTGCATAAACGAGTGCAGTCATATTTCATTTTATAATTATGATATGATTAAAGGAGACAGAATTACGCGACTCATTAATCAACCAATTCTTTGTGAATAATTAAAGCAGTTTGTAAATATAAATTACCGTCAATCTTAAACATGATGGAAACGGGTTGTCTACGTTTCCGTGGTCCAAATACGTAAAAATAGACGATCATTAAGTCCAAATGCTTGACAGCATTCATCATTCGGTCATTGGAACAAGAATAGAAATTATTTAACAAATGACAATTATAAAAACCATTTTCCCATGTGACGAATTCTGGATCTATTTTTGTTTCCCAAAAAATGCTCCTAAAATTTTTACCATTCATTCAATTATGGATTCAATTATGGTTAAAAGTTGATTGTAATTGAGAAATTTCAAAAGATTTATTAAAAACTGAAGAGACCGGATCTTAAATTTTAATGAATGTTTAATGGCTTATTAACATAATCAATTAGAAAGATTTTTAGTCTTTAATATTGTTATAATCCTCTCAGGTCATTCCTATCAAGACAGAAATTTTGTATCAATGTACTTACTAAACCTACCACAAAAACGTACATATAGTTAAGTTTTAACAACCATAAATACATACAAAATTATAATTTACAATGAAGGATCCCACATGGTATTACAGTAAAATTTGCGATATACCGTATAACAGAATGTAGGTAATAAACAAACAATTTCTTCAAGAGAAAGCATTATGGTAGTACTCTGTTGGCATCAACATCAACATTTCTCAGTGTATCTAATGCAAAAAGGATAATAATCCTTACATAAGAAGAGAAGGATCGTTTAATGTTGATGCGAAGTCACCCAGAAATGGTTTTACCAATACATATAATTGTACGTTGCGGATAAAATATGCGATAGAGGGTATTGCATTGTAAAGTAGCTTCATGCAGTTGCTTCTTGTATGATCATGCACATTCTCAATTGGAAATGATGATTAAATATCCATGTAGTTAATCTTTACATACCTTGTACTCAAAGTCATTCCATTTCTTCTTCGATCACTAATCAGTTCCTCCTTCAGTTTCTTATGGTTCTGCTTGCAAAGACCCTTCATTCGGGGATAATCTAACCACTTCTTAACGTCTTTAGGAATCGTTACATTAGTGCTTATTGTTCGATGCGCGATGGCGCTAGAATTGGCGATAATATGGCGAGTGTTTGTTCTGAATTTGTTTCGAAATGCGCGAACGTAGCGTCTGTCTTCGACAAATTCACAATCCTTTAAACTACCACTTCCATCGTAAATCATTTGGATGAAATGTCTGCCATCCGAAACCTGGCGAAGAGTCAGCTCCTTGCCGGATCTGAAACAATAAATCGATAGCTATTAAGAATCGATAAAAGATTGCACTCAGTTTCATCTGTCTTCGATTTGGATAACGCAACTTTAATGTATGTTATTACGAAGAACTCAAGTGTATTTATTCCTCTGTAGCAAAAAAAGTTATATAGATAATCTTTTTGTTATTGCCTTAAACACAGTTTTAATTAGAATAATTAATTACTAAATT